GTCAACATCTCCAAGTACATTTTGTTATTGTTGTGTACCTTCAAGCAGTTTCTGAGTTATAGAAACCCTAGCAAAGTTTTCTTGACAAGATTTGTTCAGAGTGAGTTTGCCTTTCTCTGAGGCTGAGTGTCATTAGCCCAACATCACCCGGTGAATTTCCATACCTGAACAGAGATTCGAATCCTTATGTCCAGGGGCCAACACTTGAACCACTATACAACACTGGCTCTTCTAAGCACCTTTACTGTTTCAAAGCCCAGAATCAGTTACTAAATGATGTTCCACCTCATTCTACACTGAGTATGTTTGCCTAACCCCATTCAACCAAAGTCATTTGCATTGCTCTTTCCTATGTAAAAATCAAAACTTTACGTAAACTATGGAAAACAAACACAGCTTAAACTAAGCTTGTATTTGTGAGGTAATGTTCTCTCTGAAGACGTGCTCAAAAAGAGTATTTCTCAGACTCATATGGGCACCTGGCAATTGTTTTTTTTCCCCAATGCTAGGGACAAACACCCCATTTGTGCCTGTTGAGAACAAATGTTTCTTCTTTTTCCTGGAATGTCACTAGGGGCCAGCAGACAGTTGAGGGACCATCTCTTCATATAATTTTTCATTTCATTTATATGCCACCTTTTTCCTGCCAGTACTTTAACAAACACTGCTCCATAGGATACACATAATGCTTTGACAAAATCAGGTAAGGACTTTCACTCTGGATCCTTGGATGCCCTTGAATTCTTTTAGTAAAACATAATATGCATAATTTCACAAGCCTTTAATATCTCTCATCTTGTCTTAGTCCAGGAGAGGTGTTTCTTTTCACAAAGAAAACAGGAGAGGGACAGCTGTCAGGAACAACTCTCTACAATGTGCTGGCAAATCAACTGAGAACTCCTGAATAAAACAGATAGTTTGCTAGTGTGTGATGGAGGTAGGGAAATAATCAATTTAATTTTAGAACTGACTTTGCTGAATGATAAATGTACTCTGTTCAGTGGGATGAGGTCCCAGGTATAATTTGACCAGTAGCTGAATTCCAAATTGAATGCATTGGAGAAAATGGTATGTGAAGGATGCGCTAACCAGCTGAAACACTACTTGGAGCTGATGGACATTTCCTCTGTTCCTTGCTCTTTAAGTCTTCCAGGGCTAGGATGAAATGCAGTAATTGATACATTCTCAGTTGGACAGTGGTTACCTGAAACTGCAGAAATGACTGGACAACTTTAAATTAGCTTACTTCCAGTCCCAACCACTACAGATTTGCATCTCTTGGAGGGCCTAGAGATTCATGAGATATTCTGCAATTGAAGTCATTCTTCCTTCTATGTTGTTGCAGAGAAAATAAAGCAGGAATAAATGCTGGAGATGTTGCCTTGAATTGACATATTCCCCTCCTATGCTTCCAGCAAAGGTTTCTGGTACTTTATACAAATGGTTGTTCTTGCAGAATGCAGCTCTTCCCCCTGCTGGCTAAGACAAATACTACTCTTTCAACCAAGCTTTGGAACTTTTAAGGTACATTTCTTAAGAACTCGCACACAAACCACTTCTATTCTTGCAAGGATGGCCAGACCTTGTGTCATCTTTACAGATATATTTGAACAAAGAAAATATATCTTGCTTAAAGCTACTGGTATGTAACAGAAGTAGATTCAGAAATCAAGAGACAACATTTAAAAACATGCTTGATGTGATGTTTAGCATTTTATTAGGTGAGGGATATACTTTTTTAAAAATTCAGGGGATGGATATGTATATTCTGTCGAGCACCTAGTATAGAATTCAAAGTGTTTCTTTAAAAAAATAAAAATAAAACAAAATCCCTATCCACCCAGCATCATAGTCCAACACTCTATTATACTATAACATGCAGCATTATTTATAATAATCTGTCTTGCCAAGACTGTCGGGAGTTGAGGTCCAACAACACGTTGAAGGCTACACAATTCCCATCCAGTTTAGAGTAGGTGTGGAGGCTAAAATACAAATAGTGGTATTGGTGGAGAGTGAGACATATTTGAAGCTTCATACAAGTGTTCTGAAAGTGGAGAAAGCCAACACCGTCACTAGATGTTTTCAGGAAAGCTATGAGACCACTGTAAAAAAGTGAATTGTGACAGTATGTTCAGAAGGGAGCAAGGAAGGAAACTATGGTTGGTTACCTGTAACCATGGTTCTTCAAGTGGTCATCTGTGGAATCCACACATGTGGTACTTTGGTGCCTATGTGCAGCAGGTACGGAAACTCAAATAGCTAATGAGACTTGACTAAAGGCCCACCCACCTTCCCCTGCGGGGATAAAAGGCTCCACGTGGTGCCATAGGCTCAGTTCCCTGCCGGCGAAGTGGCAGAGGAAGCAGCATGACCAAGTGTGGGGAGGATGGGTGGGGATGTGTGGATTCCACAGATGACCACTCGAAGAACCACGGTTACAGGTAAGCAACCATAGTTTCTATCTCGTGGTGTTCTGTGGAATGCCCACATGTGGTAGAGTACAAAAGCCACTTACCATGGATGGCGGGCGTCATGCCAGCACCGAAAAGAGGACTGCTCTCCCGAAGGCCACCTGGCATCTGGACAGGTCAACCTTGTAATGGGTGACAAACGTGAGCGGCGAGGGCCACTTTACAGATGTCCTCAAGAGGGACGCCTCGAGAGAAGGCGGTGGAGGTTGCAACTGCGTGGGTGGAGTGGGCCCTCAGGGTCAGAGGAGGTTCATTGGCCCCCAGCTCGTAGGCGAGGCGGATGGTGGCGCAGACCCAGGCCACAGGTTTAAAATATGCTGCCCATCCTCCTTCTGTGATTACAAAACTTGATAATGTGGTTTGAAGACTTTTTCATTAATAAGCGTGCTAATTGAGGGGATGGCTACAACTCCAGTAGTTTTGGGCCTGGCCTCATGATAGCTGCCCCGAGTCCCCTTTGGGGAGATGTTGGCGGAGTACAAATAAAGATGATGATGATGATGATTATTATATAGATGCTGTAACATCAAGCAAACAAATCAACATAACATTTATTTATTTAATTTTTTAATATACTACTTTTCTCACCCCGGGGGGACTCAAAATGGTTTATAACATACTAATGGCAAAATTCAATGCCAGGCATGCATATAAAAAGTTATAGTATCTAAACAATAACATATGAGTTTAAATTAATTAAAACCATTAAACATAAGACATAAGCAAAATTTAAACACTTATGTCTCACTTCTCCACCAATCTTTCCATATTCAGCAGAAAGGCATGTGTATGTTTTTTGCATTTTGTTTAATAAATTAAGATCAGTTGAAGCAGAAAACTTCTGAAAGGCCCATTTTTTCCATCTGAGTTGAACAAGAAATAGTGAACATCATAGGACTGTCTAATGAATGTCCAGTATCCATACACATTATGATTAAGTATTTGCAAGAAAGAGGAACATATGCTACCGCATCAGTAACTCAGGTTTGTGGTAATGAACCTGTTTCAGTAAAAATCTGCATCTCCAAAAGCCTCACTGCCAGTCTGTTTCCATGCACAATTCAAAGTGTTGGTTATGACTCATAAAACCCTACACTGCTTAGGTCCAGACCATCTGACAGAGCATATTCCCCAATATGAGCCTGCCCCGACCCTGTGATCCACAGGAAAGACCCTTCTCTTACAGGAAGACTATAGTGGTGACCTCTTCTTTGCTCTCCTTCTACTGACAGGCAAAGACTTTTTGTAATTCAGACACTTCAGAAACTGAAAGCTTTTAGCAAAGCAATAGAAGTGCTGCATTGCTTTGGATTGTATTATTCGACTTTTTAGAATGTTTTGTTTTTTATATGGTTAATAGTTGAATTAAGTTTTAATGATGACTTTTTGTATACTTTTAATTGCTATGTTTATAATGTGTTAGTCATCTCATTCAAGTCTTGGGAAAAATGCTGGTCATAAATGGGGTTGATTACTCTAAGAACTTCTAAAGTGTCAACATTCTATGCCATAGCTGTACATATAGAGACAGCGCAAACACAAAAAGGGTTTCATACAATCAGCCTACGCTTCCTTCCTTGTAGAAATTAGCATGAAACCAGGAATTCTGATACCATCAAAACAACTGAGCAAGTAAGCTGCTCTTTTTATTATTCTGAATTTTAGTTAGTTTTTGTAACTGATTTACAGATGACATGTTAAAGAACACCTAAACAGTAGTGAGACGTTTATCTGTGGATAGATTTTTTATTTGGTCTACTACTAAAATATTTTTATATTTAATTTCTGTTCTTGTGTACACTTTCCTTCAGATATTTAGCAATATTCACATTTCAGAATCAAATTCTCAGAAAGCTGAAAAGAAATTTGTTCAATAAACTAAAATGTTCAGTTTTATTTGATATCCCAATTGTAACAGGCTACAAACTGCACACCTTTGGAAAGACATATGGAACCTCAGGCAGCTCAATGGGAGAACTACTGATGTGTTTGCCTTTCAAAAACTGGTCTGGGATATAAGTAATGAATTGCATTTTTTCCTGATTTAAGTTCTTTTCGCAGTTGCCATTTATGGCACTTCATAAAATCTCAACCACCAGAAATCAGTTAAATGGATCCCCATCAAGATACATAAGCCTTAATTATAGTTAAATAGATAAAATCTTCAACTCACAGGGTATTAGATTTTTTTTTCAACACTGACAAGAAACTACTCATTTCAGATATAGATAGCTAGTTGGTTTTGTTATCTCAAACACCCATATATTCTAAAGTTGGCATGAGGGAAAGTGTGGTCCTTCATATCCTGTCCAACTGCAATTCCCATCGTGTTTCACTATTGGCTGTGATGGCTCGGATTCATGTGAACACCAGTCCAAGATTCTCAAGAGTCACACATTCATCACATGTGTTCTAACTGAAGTTTCTCTAATAGTGTACCTGGGCAAAACAATTTGTTTTTCTGTGTCATTAAAAGAATTAGCAAATATCTCGACATGTGTTATTTGGGACAATAAGAAACACAGATGTATTAACAAAAATGTTTATTTATAAACAACTACTGGTCCACAAAAATATTTTAAAAATTGTTATCCCCAATTATGTAAGTGTGTACTAAGAAACTGGCTCCATTCTCCTCTCTCTTCTCAAAATCACAAGGGGAAAAATTGCAAGTGACAGCATCCATCACATTTTTCTTCTGCAGGTTTAAAGTTTCAAATAACAATCACAACACACTGGATAGCCACTTCTAGTTAGAAACACTTTGTAGAAGAGTAATATTGTCTCCTTTTAACATGATTCGACCTGAAATGGAAAACAGGATCATTAGACCTATATGGATACAAAGGATCTGTTTTCTATTAACATTTGCATTCAGTTTTTAGTTAAATATACAACCCACTATACAGTATCTCTCTAATCTTACTTTGCTCCTCTTGTTCTCTCCCATTTTCATCTTTCAATCTCTTCACCCATGTTTTTTTTTCCTTTTTCAAATAGTAAGCCATCCTCTTCATTGATTCTATATTACAACTTTGGGAACTGCTTTTAACATATAAATAATTATTTATTATATTTCTTTCCTCGAAAGCTTCTAATTGTTTTCTCTTCTTCTTTAATTCTCTTCAGATTTTTCTATCCCTAGTTCTTTTATGTCTGTCCTGCAAGGTTTTTATTTCTTTTATTATCTTATCCTGTTCACTCTCCATCTCCTTCTGAGATTTACCTCTAAACTTATTCAGTGACCCCTTATCAGAGTCTTGCTTGCATCCCAAATTATATCTTTAGTTACTTGTCCATTATCATTGGTCTCAAAATACGTGCTTATTTCTTTCCTAACCGTTTCATATACTTCCTCTCTACTGTTTAGAATTGTTTTATACCTCCAAGTTCTTTTCTTTCTAATGGTGCATGGCCTGACAAATATATTGGAAGTGTTTTTGCCTCTAGAATCAATGATTGGTTTGTATTTCCCCCCCAGAATATAATCTATTTTACTGTATGTATTGTGTCTTCCTGAGTTATCTGTTATACTCAGGTTCTCCCTCTAACAACCCACTATACGGTGACATAATGGATATCACTAATATTGACTAGCTTATCTATTATTATTATTGTTATTAGTAGTAGTAGTAGTAATAGTAGTAGTAGTAGTAGAATTCTGCTTTATCTCTCTAAAAAGAGAATCAAAGAGGCTTACAATAAAATTGATACAATGAAAAACCTGACAAACGTACAAACATTAAAATAGAATGACATACCAAAAGTAAAAACCCATAAAACCAATTAAAAACCTATACATATAGCTAAAACCAGAGCACTCCCTTAACTTGATCTTTAAAACCTCCTTCTTTAAAAACCTTCCTGAAGAAAACAGCTGTAGCATGCCATCAAGAGGATAGCAAGGAGGGGACCATTCTGGCTTCCCTGGGCAGGCACTTTCAGAGTCGAGGAGCAGCCAATGAGAAGGTCCACTCTCTCGTTCCCACCAACTGAGCCTGCGAGGATCTCAGGACCAAGGCAGGTTTGTACCGGAAATATACCATATATACTCAAGTATAAGCCGACCCGAATATAAGCGGAGGCACCTAATTTTACCACAAAAAACTGGGAAATCTTATTGACTTGAGTATAAGCCGAGGGTGAGAAATGCAGCCAGTCCTGGTCAATTTCAAAAATAAAAATAGATATCAATAAATTACATTCATTGAGGCATCAGTAAAGGAAATGTTTTTGAATATTTACCATATTTCAAAGAAAAATGGTAAATTAGTTTTGTAAGTTGAAAAGGAGGGTCAGCAAAAAACCAATATGGTATCAACAATAATTTTATAATAATAATAAAACTTCATTTGTATCCCACCCTATCTCCCTATGGGGAATCAGGGTGGCTTCTGACATAGTAACAAGCAAACATTCAATGCCTCTATAAACAGAAAATCATAAAAATTCAAAACAAAAGACAATACTAAACATTGTACAATAAGTTAAAATAAACAGTTGCATTAAATAATTATCATTCAAAGAAATTTAAAAACCAGCCTAGCTAAAGTGTCATATCAGTTCCCTTTTGCCTTCTGTCAGGCTTCTCCTATTGATGCAGCCTAGAACGGCACTGGCCTTTTCAGCTATAGCATCATATCGTTGGCTCATGTTCCACTCGTGGTTGACTAAGACTCCTTTCATAGAATCCTGGAGTTGGAAGGAACCTCTAAAGGACCTCTAGTTCAACCCCCTTCATTCTGCGTTCATGCTGGGAAAGCACAATCTAAGGACCTCTGACAGATGGCAACCCATTCTTAATAATATTAAGGGACGAGGAGCAGGGCCTTCTCAGTGGCGGCCCCCCGCCTGTGGAACGCCCTCCCCGGGGAGATTAGATCGGCGACCTCCCTCCTAGCATTTAGGAAAAAACTAAAGACCTGGATGTGGGACCAAGCCTTTGGTCACTCTGATAATTAAATCAAGGACCGGTGACAGACAAGGACAAATGGAATAGAACGGATGTATGGACTCTGACATATGGACTCTGACATGAGATTGTTTTTAGGATTATGTTTTATTATGTATTGTTGTTTTTAACTTAACTGCTGAATTTTATATTTTTTGGATTACTTGTTGTGTGATTTGGGCATCTAATTGTGCCCTTTATGTAAGCCGCCCTGAGTCCCCCTAGGGGTGAGAAGGGCGGGGTATAAGTGAATGAAATAAATAAATAAATAAATAAATAACCATAATCATAATCATAGAGTTGGAAGGGCCTCTAAAGACCATCTAGTCCAAGGACCTTCTGCCTTCAAGCACAATCAAAGCACCTTGACAAATGGCCACCCACCCTCAATAATAATAATAACAACAATAACATTATTTATTTATTTATTTATTTACTACTCTTATATACCGCCGTTTCTCAGCCTACAATGGCGACTCAACGCGGTTTACAGCATTAAAATGAACAGCAATATACAATCTAAAAGCATAAAAAAAAAAAAAAAAAAAAAAAAAACATACACAATAAAACAGTATTGGGCCACCAATACAATCGGTGCATCTCTTAACTAAAAACATAATCCAAACTCATCGTCCGTGATTGCCGATCCTTGGTCATTAGCTTCGTTGCATCAAGTTAACCAAATGCTTGCTGAAACATCCACGTTTTTAGTTTTCTCTTCCTAAATACCATCAGCGAAGAGGCTGATCGTACCTCTATAGGGAGGGTGTTCCAAAGCCGGGGGGCCACCACAGAGAAGGCCCTGTCTCTCGTTCCCGCCAGCCGCACTTCTGAAGCTGGAGGGATAGAGAGAAGGGACTCTCCAGAAGATCTTAGGGTCCTGGTGGGCTGATAGGCTGAGATACGTTCGGACAGATAGGTTGGGCCAGAACCATTTAGGGCTTTAAAGGCTAAAGCCAGCACTTTGAATTGTGCCCGGTAGAAAATTGGCAGCCAGTGGAGCTGGCGCAGCAGAGGAGTGGTGTGCTCCCTGAGTGCCACTCCTGTTAACAACCTGGCTGCTGATCGTTGGACCATTTGTAGCTTCCGAGCCGTCTTCAAAGGCAACCCCACGTAGAGAGCGTTGCAGTAATCTATACGGGATGTAACCAGTGCGTGGACTACCGTGGCCAAGTCAGACTTCCCAAGGTACGGGCGCAGCTGGCGCACAAGTTTGAGTTGTGCAAATGCTCCCCTGGTCACCGCCGAAACCTGGGGTTCCAGGCTCAGCGATGAGTCCAAGATCCCAAGCTGCGAACCTGTGTCTTCAAGGGGGAGTAACCCCATCCAAGCACAGGCTGTAACCCTACCCTGTTGCCTTACGACTGACCAGGATTACCTCTGTCTTGTCTGGATTCAATTTCAATTTGTTCGCCCATCCAGACCGTCACAGCGGCCAAGCACCGGTTCAGGACTTGACAGCCTCCTTAGTAGCAGGTGGAAAGGAGTGACAGAGTTGGACATCATCTGCATACAGATGGCCTCAAACTCCAAAACTCTGGATGATCTCACCCAGCAGCTTCATGTAGATGTTAAACAACATGGGGGACAATACTGAGCCCTGTGGGACCCCATAGGACAATGGCTGTGGAGCCGAGCAGGAATCCCCTAGCAACACCTTCTGGGTACAACCCTCCAGGAAGGACTGGAGCCACTGCAGAACAGTAGCTCCAAGACCCATCCCTACAAGGCACCCCAGAAGGATACCGTGGTCTACGGTATCGAAGGCCGCTGAGAGGTCGAGCATCACCAACAGGGACACACTCCCCCTGTCGAGCTCCCGATGCAGATCATCCACTAAGGCGACCAGAGCTGTCTCGGTACCATGCCCCGGCCTAAAGCCAGACTGTGCCGGATCCAGATAATCCGTGTCTACCAAGAATGCCTGGAGTTGTGAGGCCATGCCTGGAGTTGTGAGGCCATACTAATTTATTAATACTAATAAATAGTTGGAAGATATTCCTTAGACCATCTAGTCCAACCCCCTTCTGCCTTCATGCAGCAAATTCAAAATCAAAGCACCCCTGACAGATGGCCACCCAGCCTCAATAATAGTATGATAATAATAGTATGATGATAATGATAATGATAATAATAATAATAAAGAGGGTTGGAAGAGACCCCAAGGGCCATCTAATGCAACCCCCTTCTGCCTTCATACAGCAGAATCAAAATCAAAGCACCCCTGACAGATGGCCACCCAGCCTCAATAATAATAATAATAATAATAATAATAATAATAATAATAATAAGGATTGGAAGAGACCCCAAGGCCATCTAGTCCAACCCCCTTCTGTCTTTCCCTGCTCCGCCCTTGCACTACGCGAGCCTTCCGGCGGCAGGGCTTTCGTAGCCTTTCTCTCCTCCCTTGGCCCACGTGCAACCGTGGGGACAGTGATCTGAGGAGGCGGGAAAGGCGCACATCTTTCTCCATCCTCTCTCGCTCCACTCGCACCTTCCGCGGTGGTGGTGGTAAAGGCACGCACGGGGCGATAGAGGAGGGAAAGGTGCGCGTCTTTCCCTCCTCCCTCGCGTGCCTTTCCTGCCTCTGCCGCCGAGAAAGGCATGCGCAAAGTGAGGGAGGAGGAAGGAAAGGTGCGCACCTTTCCCTTCTCCCTTGCCCCATGCTTGGCTTCTTTGCCTCCTCACGCCACTGTCCCCACGTGTGGGCCGAGGGAGGAGAGAGGGCTGCGAAAGCCATGCCGCAAAGGCTGCCGCTGCTGCCAAAGAAGGCTCGCCTTTCCTTTCTTCCCCTCATTCCATCTGCAGCTTCCTCGGCGGAGGATGGAACCGCAGCCGTGGAATTTGTCCACGGCCTTGCTCTCCTCCAGGCTCGGAGGAGGGAAAGATGCGCAGGGGAGGAGAAGGGGCGAGAAGCTTGGCAGGAAGGCATGTGGAAAGGGCTGTTCTTTCAACCCCACGTATTCTCGCCAGACCCTCACCTGAATATAAGCCGAGGAGAAGTTTTTCAGACTAAAAAGAGGGCTGAAAAACTCAGCTTATATTCGAGTATATATGGTAAATCAAAAAGCTTAGTCCATGTTGGGAGAGTATGAAGAAAGCAATGCCCACTACCGATGCCTCTCCAGCAGCTTTTTTGGGGCTTCTCTGCCAAAGCCGGGAGACAATAGGGGGTGGATGCTTCTTTTGGGCTCTCTGAACATGGACTAAGCTCTGAGAGTCTGAGAGCCATTGCTTGGGTCAGATTTTGCTGTAATGGCACAAACTGTGATGTGTGGTGCCACACCCTTACATATATTTAATTCTGGAAACCATATCAAAACTTGACATAGTACAAAATTTCAAGTCTTGATTATAACAAAGAAACGTAACCCTTTCTCAAAAAAGGAATTTGTCACAAATGTTCCAATAATTTTTAATGTAACCTTATGATGTTAGTATTCACTCATACCTGGGATTTCCTCCCCAGACTTTAACTTAATTTATGAAGATCAATGTGGTTTTTTTTACTAATTTCAAAAAGCAAAGTAAGCTTAGTGTCTAGTATCAAATAAGCTACTTACCCAGCTGTTTTCTTGATTTTGTCTTGGAGTGAATCTCCTCTGCATCATCCAGAACCAAATTCATATATTCATCAAATCCCTGTCAGTGAGAATAGAAAATAACCAAACTAAGGGAAACATAGAAAGGGGGAAATTCCAATAGTTTATTAGTCAGTAAATACATATTAATTTCCCTTCCAAATGCTGGGAAGCTGCTTTTTTCTATTCTCCCACTTCCACAGGCACTGTTGCTAGGATCACAAGAGATGGTTTTCTCTATGGCTGCTCTCACACATTGGAACTCTCTCTAGGGAAGTTAGGAAGGTCCCTTCATTGTTAGCCATTTCATGGAAAGTTTAGACAAAGCCTGCACAATCTGTGGCCCTCCAGGTGTTTTGGACTTCAGCTGTCAGAATTCCTGACCACTTTTTTTTTGTCGTGTCAGCAGCGACTTGAGAAACTGCAAGTCGCTTCTGGTGTGAAAGAATTGGCCATCTGCAAGGACATTGCCCAGGAGATGCCCGGATGATTTGATGTTTTTATCATCCTTGTGGGAGGCTTCTCTCATGTCCCTGCAGGAGGAGCTGGAGTTGATAGAGGGAGCTCATCCGCCTCTCCCCGGATTCGAACCTGCGACCTATGGGGCTTCAGTCCTGCCAGGACAGGGGTTTAACCCACTGCGCCACCGGGGACTCCTGACCACTGAACAAGCTGGCTAGGGCTTCTGGGAACTGAAGGCCCAAACACCTGGAAGGCCACAGATTGAAGAGGCCTAGTTATTTTTGCCCAGTTCTTTTGCCAGCAAGTCTCCAGAAAAGTCAAGACAACAACAAAGGACACAAGACTGTACTGTTTGTAAAATCTTTTAAAGTAAGATTCTAATGGGTTTTAATTCTCTTCTTTAATACTGTTTCAAATTTAATCTTAATTTTGAAAGTTTTGAACTATGCATGTCTTATTATGTTCTCTGCCTTAAGTCCCAGAATGGATAGACTCGAGTTTTAAATGTACAGTCACCAGAATAGAAAACCAATTAAAGARTGCRCATATTGGGGAAGGCAAGTTGTTTAAATATCTAGRTTCCAATTCCTRAAAASTCAAAGRAAGCATGGTTAAATGTTTGKAGAAACATCTAGTAGATGAGTGTTGATGTTTACAAATTGTCTAGATATGTTTACACAGGGTTYAATATCAGCTAATTTAWACATCATTTTATAYCAACAGACATTTCTGAACAGACTTCCAAGRCAACRTTCTGCTRCAAYCAATGAAGTAATGTAGGTTTTACCAGGGGAAKGATAACAATGGATAGGCARTAGCAAATATACAYTGAATCAGACAGACTGATGACCTATRTYGCTTGGCACCATTTATATTCCAGTTCTCTGATTTGGAGGAAGAACTGGGCTCACCACACTTAWCACAGACCAGCTCTTTTCTCTCCATGACAAAAGATGGGGACAAGGAAGGRCATGTAACCCCAAGAATCATATAAAATGTGTTTACCACTTAGTTTGTCTTTTATAACATGGTAAAATATGAAACTCACTTGAAAKTAATGCAATAGTTCAAGTAAAATTTCAGTGTAAAGATGCTTTTTTATTTTATAAGAGACATAGACTTTAGTACTCACAATAATGCAGCCTTCTATTCGCATATTTACTTGCTCATACAACCACACCTGAATTCTGGACCTCTGCAAAGTAAATAGGACAGAAATGACTTTCACAATTGTTCTAAACAGGTTTTCACAAATCAGGTTTTTTCCCCTAGCAAAGTAAAAACAGACATGCGACAGCACTCCCAACAAAATATGGAGTTGGGGTGTTTTCCCATATTTTTACCAGGATTTTTCTACTTCAGATAAATTTCATGAAATAATATCACTTAGATTAAATGACACAAGCTTACTAGAGCCTAGATATTTATTAAAAGAATTTTAAAGAGCTTTTAAAGAATTTCACCCCCATGAATAAAATCAGGTATTGTATCTTGATTACAGTAGCTCAATTTGTTTAAATCCATTGTTAAGGGTAAAATCAAGGTTGATATGTTCACTTACGTTCTGTAGGTATCTGAAGATGAGGTTCTGTGAGTAGTGACTTAAGAAAAAATACAGACATAAAAGGAACAAAATGCACACACAAAGAGCACTCTAGGAAATCTGTTTTCGCATTGTTACACTATATTATAATGCTACATTTGTTTTCAATAGCTTAATATAATCACCATGTCCATCACCCATGCCAACCCAAACATGGAAAGCAAAGAAGAAAAAGTTATGTAAATAAGAATCATACACATTCTCACAAAAAGCAATCACCTTGCTAGTTCAGGATCTATTTATTTGTTTACTATATTTATATCTCGTTCTTTCTCACCCTAAGGGGGACTCAGAGTGGCTTTCAATATGGCAATATTAAATGTCATGTATAAAATAAAATAAGATGTATCATAAATACAGATAAAAACATACAAAATACCATAATACTGTTAGCGCCATGATACCTATTCCAGAAGTTGTCATTTTAACAACTTCAATATTGCACTATCCAAACACCTGATCCCATAGCCATGTCTTCATTCTTTTCCTAAAACCCAGGATGCATCTATTTATTTATTATTTATTTACAACGTTTAGTGGCATATCCTGCCCTTCTCACCCCAAAGGAGACTCAGAGCAGCTTAGAAGTTATATGTACACAAAATATATTATATTATTAGCATAGCACAATATTCACATTATATATTACTATATTGCACTATACCACTATACTGCAATATTATTAGTAATATTACATGTAACATATAATATATATTTATAATATTATTATATTGTATTGTTATTTGCATTATATTGTATTACAGGATTATGATCAATATTATATGTACATACAATATATTATATTATTAGCATAGCACAATATTATTATATATTACTATATTGTTGCTAGCGGGAGGGGCTCCCAACTGATGACTCAGAAGACACGGTGGAACTGTGTCTTCCTGGCTCCCCTTCTTCACTCTACACTGGAGAATGAATGCAGTAGAATCTACAGTTCAGATGTCAGGCATGGGCATACTTTAGCCTTCCATGACTTCAATTCCCACAATTCCTAACAGAGAGGAGTTGAAGTCCAAAACACCTGGAGGGCCAAAGTTGACATTATCTGGACTGTAGATTCTACTGCATTAATTCTCCAGTGTAGAGGGAAGAAGGGGAGCCTAAGTCTTCTTCCTCAGTTGCATTGAAGGTAATACATGATCTCTTTGCACAGTGATATTCCAGATTAATATAGCTATGCCTTTGAAATTCTGTGGGCAGCGTATACAGCTAAAACAAAAGAAATCCAACCCCACAGTTCAACATTAAGAAAGGGGGGGGGGACCCTGAGAGGCAGTGGTTCTCAACCTGTGGGTTGCCAGGTGTTTTGGCCTACAACACCCAGGCGTCCCAGCCAGTTTACCAGCTGTTAAGATTTCTGGGAGTTGAAAAAAATAAACGATTATCCTCATTGCTACATGGTATTTGCACTGTACATGATAATTGCCCCAGTCTGCCCACCCACAACGAGACATTGAACTTCGCTATTGGTTGATGGTTTTTATGTGTTTTATATACTGTTTAATGTTATTTTATTTTTATATTGTTTTTGTTATCATTTTGTTGATATGCATTTTAATGTATTATGTTTTAACCGTGTTGACCGGGTTTGATATAACCGTATTGATATAAGCTGCCCCGAGTCCCTTCGGGGAGATGGAGGCGGGGTATAAAAATAAAGTTATTATTATGATTATTATTATAAAGCCAAAACATCTGGGGACCCACAGATCGAGGGTTTCCAGCCTTGAGTTGGCAAAACCTGTGAACCAGTGTGCAATTTGATACAGCTTTCACTGCCATGGCTCAATGCTGCCGAATTATGGGAGTGGTTTTTAACCAAAGAGTACAGCTGCTTAGTGAAACTACAGCTATAGCGGTATGATTCTGAGGGCCAATAACACTAATATTTGTTCACTGTATTTCTACCGTGCCTTCACAATAAACAACTGTTTATTGTGAGCTGTGCAAGCTCATCCCTGGTTTGTTGTTGCGGGATTTGTGAGAGAATCTCTTCGGCCACATTGGAGCTGCGGTTCAGGAGAATTATAAAATACAAACATTAAAACCTTTAAAAACATATAAATCCACTACCTTTCTCTATTAGACTTGTTATCCAAAAACATCATCTAAGCTGTTCCAGTATTCAATTTCACATAGTTCCGTGTTTATCTACTGCACTACGTTGGAAAGAACACTACCAAAGCCTCCTGAACCGCAGCTCCAATGTGGCCGAAGAGATTCTCTCACAAATCCCGCAACAACAAACCAGAGATGAGCTTGCCGCACTGCCTAGTTTGGAAGAAGTCAGCAATGCCAACAGCCAACAAAAAAATAACAAAGCCAGCGGACCTGCTGAAATCTTTAAAGAGGAAGGACCTGAGCTGACACAACAACTCCACCAGCTCACTCAAAAAGTGTGGCTGACCGAGAAAATCCCAGCAGATTTCAAGGATGTCACCATCATCACCCTCTTCAAAAAAGGGGAAAGAACAGACTGTGGAAACTATCGAGGTATCTCCCTTCTAACCTCGGCTGGGTAAATCCATGCAAGAATCCTTGCAAACCGCCTTCTATCCCTCTCAGAAGACACCCTTCCAGAATCCCAGAACGGCTTCCGCCCTTCCACGGGAACAGTTGACATGATCTTCACTGCATGACAGCTCCAAGAAAAATGCAGGGAACAAAATCAACCTCTGTACATGGCATTCATTGACCTTGCAAAATCAACCTTGGCACTGTGTCAGCATTGGACACAGTGAATCGCAGCGCTCTCTGGACCACCCTCCAAAAAATCAGGTGCCCTGACAAATTTGTGAACATTTGCGGCTCCTCCATGATGACATGATGGCAACAGTCTTGGACAACAATGGCTCCCTAAGTGACCCATTTTAAGGTGGAACCAGGTGTCGAAGAGGGTTCTTCTGCGTGGTACTGTGAAATTCACACCTGTGGTATTTCCCTGCATCCACGCAGCTGACTCGGATCTTTCTTGAAAGCTTTTCCTAATTAGGGACTCCAGCCCCGCCCATCTACTCCTAATAAAGCCAGGCAGCGGGGCTTGGAGCCTTAATTCCTTTTGTCCGCGAAAGCAGCAACAACTCGGTGTTCTCTCCTAAAACAACTATTGGTTTGACTCAAGGACTCCAGTTTGACTACTCTAACAGACAGCAATTCCAACTTGTGTTCTGGGACCTTTGTTTATCCTATTCAGGCCAGTATGGCATTTTCTTTGAAATGTATGGCTTATGGAGGGGAAGTTGCTCCAGGGTGACTCCCACCCCCTTTGTGTTTCTTGCCTTTGGCAATGGGCAGTAACTTACCTTCTTTTCTTCTGTTCCCCTCGCTCAGAAAGCAGGAGGAAGAAGACTTTTAAACAGCCTACCACCCCTTTACAGAACCAGGAACTGGTAGAGCTTGTGGCAGCAAAATGCCACTGTGGCTTGGTGCCAATAACTTTGTTTTGGGTTGCAGCCACGCATCTCAGCTGTTTCTGTTTTTGAAGGACAGCTTGCTCTCACTGCCCATGCTTTCCCTGTCCCATTTACCCGAGCAGGCAGTGGACGCTGCAACGATCCCTGCCATGCTTTTGCCCCCCTCAGGGAAGGGGAGGCTCAAGGCAGCCACGCCACCTGTGTGAGTGATGGCTAGCCAAGGCTTTGTGTCCAAGCCCATGGCATATAACTCCTTGGAGGGGCCTTCGGGCTGCAACGATCCCTGCCATGCTTTTGCCCCCCTCAGGGGAGGGGAGGCTCAAGGCAGCCACGCCACCTGTGTGAGTGATGGCTAGCCAAGGCTTTGGGTCTAAGCCCATGGAATATAACTCCTTGGAGGGGCCTTCGGGCTACCATCCTCCCTCTGCATCATGCCGCCTGGGAGCTTCAGTGACGGCTCAGAATGTAAGTACTGTGTCTTTTGGGCCCCATCTGCCACTTGGCCCATGCCTCAACAGGTAGGTTGCTACTATTTTGAATAGGCACAAACTGCACCCTCCTTTCCTTCTCAAGGATTTGGAGTCCCTTCTTTTGGTTTTCAGGAGTTTAATAAGACTTTTTCCTAAGCTCATTCTGGTGCTTCCTTTCAGCTGCAACCAGTCAATGAGTCTGATGTAGATTCTGACTCCTATGAGTAGCAGATTTCTCCTACTCTTGAGGAGGACTTTTCCATCCCAGCTTCCATAAGGGATGTGTTACCTAATTTTTCCTCCTTGATTGCTTAGAGGATCTGCTTTTCTCAGTTGAGCAACAGCAGAAACAAGCTCCAAGTACAGTTCTCCCAGTTCTCCCAGCACTTCCATACTTGCTTAAGCTTGGAGAAAAACAAAAGGCAACTCCTGTATCTGTGCTGGAATTTCTAAGTTTGTAAATGCACTTTACAGCATAGGCACCTCTTCAACAGAGTGGTTAGTTAAGCCTACTAAACTGAACTTTATTGTGGTCAAAGTTGTTTAATCCAAGAAAGCGAAGGCACCTCAAGTCAGTCCACTGTGATAAGAAGATCCACCCCACTGCTAGCCTACTCACTTGCATGATTCATTACCATGCTTGTATGGCAGCCTATCAGGTGCTCTTGTGGCATAGCTCAGCACTTTATTTGGATCTCCTTCCCCTACAACATCAACAGATCCTAAGGGCTTTCTGTCAGTAAGCTCTCACCTTAGCTTCTCATCAGAAAGCTATGGCTAAGCACAGCACCGATACAGTACTAAAGGTGTTTGCTGCTGTTGCAGCAGCCATCCACCAGCATGGTTGGCTGAGATCCTCTACCCTCTCCAAAGAAGGCAGAGCAATGGCAGAATAACTGCCCATGGCAGAACATAGTCTGTTTCATCCTGATACAGACCCTCATTTCAAAAGTACGCACAAGATTTGACAGGCTGCTTCTAAGTTTGGCTTTTTACCACAATCTAGCCTAGATTGTGGTGGCCAGCCCCTCAGCTTAATTATCATCAACCTTCATGACCTGCTTCCTTCAGTCCTCAGCAG